AGACTTTCCCTGCCTGGTGGCAGTAAAACCAGGGCTGCCTCTGCCTTCGCCTCGCCGACCGCTGCTCTACGAAGAGCTAAAGTAATACTTAAGAGGCAGTTGGTTGTGAACAAACTTTGATTCCTTCTACAGCAGATGTCAGAGTTTTCTTGGGTTTTGGCTGCGTCTGGGGACATCTTGTGATGTTTTAGAGAACAGGACATGATCTCACATGGCGAGAAGCTCTTTAGTTTCTTAATCATTTCACGGTTCCTTCAGAGGCTTTTTTCCACCTAAAACGTTTAGTTTCAGCTCAGTGATCAGCTGCAAAAGCTCGGCGGGGAGCGGAAGAGTTGAATTATTCCAACCTGCGAGGAGCCTCTCACAAAAAAAAAAAAAGAGAGCGAGAGAGAGAGAAGAAAAAAAGATCTCCCCAACAGCAACGAAAAGTGGGAACTTTTTTCTCTGTCCATTTCACCAAGTCCTGAAAAATCAGAATGGAATTAGAGAAAACCTACGCGACTCCCAGGACTGGCCGAACAGGTAGGACTCGAGCACTTGGCTATTCCAAGACGTTGTAAACAAGCCTAGGGGCTTCCCTGCCCACAGAGATGTTACTCTCTGCGGTGTCATGTCTACGGCTGCACTGGCATTTGGGGGGCTCCCAGGTTCGATGGTGTGCTCAGCCCCACGCGCAGGGGCACGGTGGTGCACGGTTGGGCCCGTGCCCCATATCACGCGTGGCCTGACGGTGGGGCATAGTTTGATGCGGCGGTGAAAGCTGTGTGGCGAGGTGGGCGCTGCTCGAACTGAGGAGCGGAGGTTTCAACAGAAAACGAATCAGCCTTTTCTGAGCACCAAGGTGTGCGCGTGCCGCGTGGGCTGAAGTGTTTGCACGGCGGTGTGCCTTTTGGACCTTCAAATTCGCATTATCTAGATCAACCGTTTCCCAAGCAAAAATCAACACTTAAATCGCGATTTGACGGCGATTTAAGGAAGGTGCGGAGATGGAAACGATGGAAAGGAGTTTCGGGATAACATGGTGTGTCTGCCCGCAGACAGGCACGGCTCTGAGTCACAGGTCGGCCGAGGGCTTGCAGGGGCCATTTCGGATAGCCCGACCGGCCACAGAGAGACCAGGACGGCTCTCCACCTTCCTCTTTGCCAATCTGCAAAGGCACCTGACTCTTTGCAAGCGTCCAGTGACGGTGACTTTCCCAGGAGGGCGAACGAAAGGGATCTAGTGAAGTTCAAACCCCCCTCTAATCCCCGCCCGGACAGTAGGGAGCCTGGCGCGGGCAGAGCAGAGGGACGCAGTGAGGTGGGCAGGAGTGGGGCTTTGGCTTTGCAAGAACAGAGACGGAGGGGCTGCGGAGAGCCCGGGGAGCCTTGGCGACCCCTCGGTGCAGTGGGGCCCAGGGGGTGACTGGGGAGGGAGCATGTGCGTGCAGACGTGTCCTGAGGAGCTGTCTATAAATGCAAATTTGAAGCGATCGATGGATCTTTTTATTAGTTAAATCGTCTGAATAATTGTTTAATCGATAAAGCATTTCATTGCTCCTAGATGCAGGCTCTGCATGGTGTGGAGAAGGCCCGAGCAGGGAGAGATGGCAGGGGGCTGAAGTGGGGACTGTGCTGGGCTCGGCTGCCCGGGCTTCCCCTCTTGCTGCACGGGTCCCTAGCCCAGACTGTGGCTAGCTCTGCCTCGGGGCAGCCAGCCCGGGAGGGAGCGGGGGGCGGGGGGTCAAGGCCTCCCCCCCCCCCCCCCCCCGCACTCGGGAGAATTCTCCGCCCT